GAGGGTCGGGCCATGCGTTTCCAGTTCGAGTGGAAGTATGTAGTTCATATCGACCACGCGATTGATACGTATATACTTCATGAGAACAGTACTCAAAACTACAGAATAGTAAGATCGCAAAGTATGATCCCCACCCTTAGGGCTTGCGAAACAAAAGTCGTGGTTTCTTTGTTCTCCCCTCCAATATTTTAAGCTTGCATGCTTTTACTATACAATTTTCATTGTTGACAGTCCACGATTGCTGCTTCCCACTAACCGTGAACTTTATTTATTCGGACTGATCGTCCAAGTGTGGACCCCCTGCGCCTTTATCGAATACACGGGCACGCCAAGAGCAACAGACCACTGTTTAATAAACATAAAACAACAAAAATATGAAAAAATACGAACAAAAATAAATAATAATCCAAATGTGGTCTATTTCACGAAGAGGGACGGACTTTCGGTGCAGAGCACCAAAGGTGTTTGAAACCATCCTATTGTATTGTCTGTTCGGAAAAGGAGGGGAAGAACGTTGTGGTGCAGTAATTCGTGTGCTGTAGACAGCACAAACCATTGCACCAAAATGGCCACTTACCCACCCTACTGGAAGAGCCAAATATGGTGTTTCATAGGTAGGAAAGGTGGAACAGTTAGACAACTGAAGAAATTTCAATTTCTACAGAGAGGGAGATCGATTTGCGTGAACCATCCCACTTTCGCCCACCTCGTAGCTTCCTTCCTCTTCGAAAAATTGGATCCGTAAATGATATGAATTGTCCTAATACGCGTCCCTTCTTACTGTACGAGATCCCAAAACGTGTGAACCGGTCGCGTCCTCTTTTTTGACAAAGTTGAGCTTGAGCACAACTCAAAATATTCAGTTCCTTCCATCATCGCCGCTCATCTTCGCCTCTCTGCGACGAACCCACCAGCCCCTATCAACAAAGACAAGCAATCATCATCGAGACCGAGCACGGATCGAACATGAATTTCCCATTACGGTAGCTAGATTTCCCGTAATGCTTCTACGTCTTTGTCGACCTACCGTACCCGACGCGGCTTTGAGCACACTTGCTGCGAAGCGCATTCAATTGCGCTTCTTGTTGTTCCATAATTTTCTTTTACTCCTTCCTTCTTTTGCTTGTTAGGGCTACCATTCCTAATGAAAGGTCCTAATGAAAGCAGTTACGAGTTTTTTCAATAGAAGTGGTACTATGACACCGACATAGTGTCGGGCCATTCATTCGAGATTATCGCTAAAAGGGCCCGCCGCCCCGGCGCACGCCCCGCCCGCCCCCCGCGGCGCACGCGCCCCGCCCAATCCAAAATGTGGTCAGGTTTCCCATTACTGCGACGGAATTAGTTTTGGTAACAATAACCATAATTCCTTCCGATGATAGCGATTCCAATGATTTTCAGGATTCAGCCTAATAGACTGCGTGGCTCATCCCAATAAGGGATTGATCAGAGCCGAATGCTTTAACCTTTTAACAACTCCCCCTAACTGGAATACGGCGCTCATCCGGTAAGGGGGGGGGCATTGTGATGCAACGTCTAATAGCTGCCCTCACCCCCCACCCCCTGAACTGGCTTCACTCCCCCTGGCTCACGGGGTCCTGTCGCGCCGGCACGGACGCCTTGCTCCCCGCTAGTCGCATAAGCATCGGGGTTCCCCCGGCGAAGGAGCGGCGTCGGTGTCGGCGTGAGGGTAGCTACGGGGACTTACGCCGCGCTCGCTGCCCGCCACTATGCCACGCGGACACCTAATAGGCCTGAGCAGCCCCGACTGGCAGTACGCCAAAGATCCGCTACGTATTGCAGTGCCATGGACTACGCCGAGATATTACTGTCCCTTAACTAGCGCGCTACGAGGAATTTACTGGCCCGGCCTACGAGCATTACACCGACTATGAACACACTAGTCATATTAATAAATAGATAGTTTAGTGCGGATCAACCGCTACGATTTAAACACTACAAGAAAATATACCATAGATTCATATGATCTTGAAACTACGATGAAAATAAACGACTACAACATAATACGGCTACTACCCTAGACTCACGGGTCGAACCCAGAAGTGCTTCTTACGCGGGGATGACGTGGCTCGGCTCCGATGTTCTTCGACGGGCGTCCATGCCCGGAACCATTCGTTGACGTACGAACACTGGAGCACAAGTGGCGACGACAGACAGCAACGGCCAGCGGCTACACTCGACGGCGGCAGCTCGTAGACTGAAGACAGGCGAGGGACGCGTGCACTCTGCGTCCCTGACGTTCTTCGAGAGACTTCGACAGCGCGGGCGCGCCAGGACCCGCGCACACCCGACCAGGCGCGACCCTTTAGGTGGAGTCGTACGGAAGTCACGACAGGTCCCGTACTTCGAGAAAGCCTGTGCGCGCAGGGAGAGTGTAGGCATCTAAGGGGCTGGGTGAGGGCAGCTCACTGATGTCCTACTGGAATGAGCGCCCTTGCTTGCTGTTGGAGTATTGGGATTTCAGACTCTAAACAGGAGGGGGCAACTGCCTAAAGTCGTCTCAATTCAGCAAAAGAGAGAACTTCCTCATGGTGTGTACTTTGTGCAGCTTACAGCAACCACAATTATCACGTAGTAGTGATCAATACAGGGAGTTCGATTAGAACTTATTGCAACGGGTAAGGAAGCTGGCTATAAAAAGCGACTTCTCGCTCTGTCACACTGCATGAACGCCGCCCCGTTCATCCGAGGGATGCATGAGGTTCCCATAGCAAAAAAAAATTCGCTCGATAGGCAATAAAGTCGCTTTCTTCTCTAATGACCCACACCTTTGCGGCTCAAGGTCAACAGGAGCGGGACTGCGTATGTCCGCTGGCTTTCTGGTTCAAACTGCGACGGTCTCTTGGTGAGTCTTCAATCCAAAACTGCTTCGCGTCTCTCCAAGTGTGAAGATCCATGGAATAAATCCGTTTTCATGAAATCGGTAGCACTGAATAATGTTTCGGCGATGAACCTGCAATTATAAAAATTCACTAAAATTCTCGAGTGATTTCTACTTTCTGCTAATGTTTTAACGCTTTTACAGGTAATTCGTATTCGTTTTCGGTTCGCAAGGACTATTTATTGTGTGATGAAAACGATGGTCTAATGATTGTTGAGGAGAGCGAGACCGGAAAGACGGTACAAAATTTTTGATAACTTACCCCACATGAAGCACAATTATTATAATAAATTCCAGGTAACTACTGAAAAAGAAAAATGTCATCAATGGCACTGATGGTTAAGGGAACGGTAGTTTTTTTTTTTTTTTTTTTTTTTTTTTTTTTTTTTTTTTTTTTTTTTTTTTTTTTTTTTTTTTTTTTTTTTTTTTTTTTTTTTTTTTTTTTTTTTTTTTTTTTTTTTTTTTTTTTTTTTTTTTTTTTTTTTTTTTTTTTTTTTTATATTATTTTTAATGAAATGGAAAGTTTACGAATGAAAATCAAGACATCGAAGTTACAGCGATTTGGAGACCACGTGTGAGTTCCTACCTATAATTCTACGATTACGTTGCATCATTTCTCACATTCTCACTCTCACATCATTACGATGGCCTGTCATTACAGTGTCGCAAATTTTACTATCCAAAATGTCCCAGACTCCCGAATTACTCAACCGGCCATTCAAATAAGTTAGTGCTTGTCTGCGTCCTCTCGGTATACGTAGTGGTTTGAGACTATAACGGCCTCGCAAGTTCAAACTTCTCCTACATGAGAAAAGGGCTCACCTTTCCGACCACAATTCCTCGAGTTGCCCTCACTCCACGTGTCTCTCGTTTGGTAGTGTTAGAAGCTGCTGCAAGGTAGACGCGTTCTCTAATTGCCTGTGCTGTAGCTAGTCACGGCAGGACTTTTTAGGGAAGGTAAAAGATAATATATACTCCTACTGCGCAGGTGGATAATCTTCGCGAGAGCAAAAGTTGTAATCAGGATTAAAGGTGAGCGGGTGATATGAAAGGCACGTTTCAGAAGAAAATCACGCAACGCGTTTTGTATAGGACCGTATCCTATCTCCCCTAAGGGAAATGGGCGAGGAGAATTCGTTTAGATTTTCTTTGTCTTCTCAACCAGCATTGCCCTAAGAAAAAGACTACTTTTGTTGCATATGTGTATAGAAGTAAACATGTGCTGAATGTAAGAGAAAGTACACATGTCGTCGAATGCAAATAAATTCAAAAAGGTTTTACAATCCCCTGACTTGGGGGAAGGATAGGATACTGCCCATGGTACGTCTGGCTATCGTTTTATACCTTTTTGCACCTGATAAGAACGCTTCCAAACGGTCGTCCGATTGTAACACACAGCATTAGAGACATGTCGATCGTCCAACGTTTCGGACGACTGGACGATGATACGTATCTAATGCTGTGTGATCATTCACGATCGTCAAGATCGGACGACCGCCTATGAAAGCGCCCATACTTTGCTGATAGAGCGCTTTCTATCGCGGTCGCCACTTCGTCTAGTCGGATGCTCTACGCTTTCAAGAACCCCTTCCTCTTTCATGACATTAATTGCGATCATTTGCGGGAGTTTCATCGTTATTACCCTTGTCTTAAACATTAGGATATTGCTTTACATTTCTAGACCATGGGATTTAATTTGGAAGTCTATGATAACATGGGAAAAAACTAATCTGCTTTTCAGGACGAAGAAGCAGATGATGACGATGTAGTGATACTTGACGAATGCGGCGAAGGTGATGAGTTTCTTGAGCCTCCTGCAAACAAAGCACCGACGGAGGCTGCAGAAAGCGAAAAACAACCTGAACAAAAGATTCAAGTTTTTCCAGGCCGCAAAAAGAAAGAACGAGTGTTCAGGGTGCGTATTCCTCTTTGACTACATCTTTGCCCTGCTTTCCATAATTTATTTCTCATTTTAGCGGAAGGTGGTTCGCATACCAAGAGATGTGTTCGATTACATGGCAAGGATAGAGGAGGACGGGACAATTAGGCTCAATGTTACTCAATTTTCCGTGTTCTTCAACAACGAAATATCAAAGAAATTTGTTCAGGTGAACGTTTATGATTGCTGGGGTACAGAAAACTTTCATTTAGCTTTGTGATGAAATATTATTTTCCAAAAAAATGTCGCGGTCCGGATTGGCTGAGTTGAATATTTAGGTACAAGCAGAAACATGGGATACTACAGATCTTGTTCCTCTGATGGATGTTAGTGTTCCACCAACAGCTAAAGAGAATCCAAATCTAATTGTGGAGTAAGTGGTTTTTTCGTTCAAGTGTGTATGTTCATGAAAAAGTTACATTCAAAAATGCTTACAGCAATTTTTCCAACGAACCGGCAGAAAGAGAAGCACAAGAGAAGAGATTGAAAGAAATACTTGAGGTTAGTGTTTTCGATATAAAATTGATCTTTCTACAGAAAAGTGTCATTTAAGGGTCGAAAACGGTTTGATGAGAAACAAAAACAGCAAGAGGCTGAAAGCGCTTCTGCAGCGAAGGTGTGTTCGAAAGATGATGTTGTGAATGTCTGTATCAAATTCTTGATTCCAACTATTAAGATATTACCTGCTGAGGGTAGCGCTGAAATGAAAATAAGAAGAAGCCTCCGACGAAACCTGCCGAGCAAATCGGGAAGAAGAGCACTGAGGAAGAGAAACTGCCAAATAAGTAGGTTCTTGTTCTGCAACCGCTTCAGGTTCTTAGACTTATAAAACGCTGACTTTTTTCCTACTAATTCGTCCTTTTCGAAGGTGTCGGTTTTTTCTGGTGGCGCAAGTGCTTTCAGAAGAAGAGAACTTGTTGGAGCTCCTTCTGACCCCTTCTCTGTCTAGCACTATTTTGCATTGTACTTATCGTTTTTCATAGACGATTTGTACTGACCGCACTCTATTCGTGGCGAA